ACAGGTGAATTCTCCTCCCTAATCCAATGCCACCGTTGAATTTGGGGGATGAACACAGGAGAATCCCCCCTATCTGTCTTCAGACCCAGTCAAGTGTCAAGGGACAGGCACACTTTCCCCTGCCGCAGCCAATGGCGGAGCCTTGGGGGACGTGTGCTGGGCTCCTAGCACAGCGAGCCTCTTTTTTTCCCATTGTGACCTTTCCAACTAAAGAGTGCAGAATCACCTGCTGCATTTGCACTTCTGTCTGGAGTGGCTCCTCAGCCCTTCCTGGGCTTTCATGACCTTGACACCTTTGAAGGCTCATTATATTTTGGAATTTCCCTAAGTTTGTTTTTGTCTACTGTGCACATGAGGATGGCATCCTGGTATGTGCTACCCCAGGGGAAGCCAGTCCCTAGACCTCCCTGGTCTGTTCCTGTGGACCTCAGTGAGTACACATCTCCCACATCCCCTCGAGGCCCAGGCCCAGGCTCAGCTCCTCTGTGGCCCTCTGAGGGCTCCCTTCTCCCTCCTGAATCCTTGTCAAGCCTGGGAAAGGAAACCTCTGTTTAGTGGGTGCCTTGCCAGCTATCTTAGCCCCTCCCGACTTCTGAAATAGCAACAGTCAGACCCATCAAGAGCTAAGGAATAGATTGTCCCTATAGCAGACATGTTTATGCACTGGCTTATCATCCAAGGGGCAAGGTCAGAGGTATGGGATGGGGCCAGTCAGCCTCACTCTGGGATCCTCAGGCATCTGAACCCTAGGAACAGCTTCCGCCAGCATCTGTGTCTTCTCCAGAATCCACCTTCTTTTCCAGCAAGGTTCCCTAAGACACCCATAAAACTATTTTGCCAGATGCCAGGAAGAAAAATTCTTATTTTTCCAAATGATGAAATAACTGCACTGATGCTTGATCCTGGTTCTGATTTTTGGATGAATGATTGAGGAAAAGGCATTTTTTTGTTTGTTTGTTTTCTATCTAGACCTACTTTTCAGAGCTCTCAAAAGGATGAAATATTTTAATACCAGACAATAACTCTGCTCTGTTCTGCTGGGTTTCAGTGGTTCTTTGGGAATAACCAATCTCAAATGGGACACAAGAATTAGACACTTGAGCAGAGATGTTCCGAGACAGGTGAACTCTGCAGAAGTCCAACAGGCAGAGATGCAGCTTCACCCAGAGTGGCTATCATTAGCTCCTGGTGCTCTTGGGAGACACGAATGCTTTAGAAAGAGGCAGCAACTCTCAGGCCAGCTGGGAGATCAGAGGAGACCAAGCAGGTCAGAAGTCGGGGATGTGTTTGGGGAAAACGGAACTCTCCCTCTGTTTCCCCTCCACTGCCAGACTGGGCAGTGGAGAACTTTACAGGGAACAACTTGACTTCGAACCATAAACTTCTTTCTTTGGTGATTCTGAATTTTCCTGAACCCCTGATTTGTTTTTTTATTGTGGTAAAATATACATAACATAAAATTTGCCATTTTAAAGTATGCAGTTCAGTGGTATTAAGTACACTCATGTTATTGTATAACCATCACCACCATCCATCTCCAGAACTCTTTTCATCTTATAAAATTGAAACTCTGTATCCATTAAACAACAACTCCCAATGCCTCTCTCCCTCCAGCCCCTGGCAACCCTTGTCTGCTGCTTTCTGTCTCTGTGAATTTGGCTTGTTTATATGCCTCAGATAAGTGGAGTCATACAGTATTTTTCCTTTTGTGACTGGCTTATTTCATTTAGTGTAACATCTTCAAGTTTCATCCATGTTGTAGCATGCACCAGGATTTCTTTCCTTTTTAAGACTGAATAATATTCCATTGCATGGAAATGCCACACATTTTGTTTATCCATTCGTTCACAATGGACAATTGGGCTGCTTCCACTTCTTGGCTATTGCAAACAATGCTGCTATGAACATGGGTGTGTGAATATCTGTTCAATCCTGAGCCTCTGCGTTTGTACCTTTGACAGTGAAGTCATCCTAGGAGAGAGCTGCCAGGGCTCCAGCAGGACCTCAGGAGTCTCGATCAGGCAGTTCTCTGCTCTGCCCATGTGTCTCCGGAGGGTCCAGTTACATGACCCTGTCCCTAGGGGGCCTGACCAACTGATTGACAAAAATACCTTTGCCAGGATCACAGTTGACCTTAGAAGCAGCAGCTGAACACAGCATGTGCCTACCTGCTCTTTGATGCTTAAATCCCCCATCCTGGTCTCCATGGTGAGGACTTGGGCTGCAGATGCTACTCACTGGCCCTGGGAGACACATCATGGTGATGGATACTCGGTCTGATGTGGAACAGTCTTAGCTCCGTCCTGCGAGACTCAAAGCAAGACTCGGAGGGGAAGGGGAGTTAGACGGGGGAACTGAGGATGAGAAAGGTGGTGAAAGGCAGTGACTTTCAATGCCATGGGAGAAAAGGTATTCTCTTTGCTTCAAATGGGGGGACAAGAATTGAAGTTCACTGCCTTCAGGGATGTGGTTAACATCCCAGGATTTCAGGTGAGACCATGAAGGACCATGTCCTAAGACTAAAAATAAACTGAAAATAGACCACTTTCAGAAGCCCAGCTTTGAGTTTTTAAAGAACTGAAAGAAAGTTATTAACAACCTAGAATTCAATAGCCACAAAAATATTCTTCAAAAATGAAGGCAAATAAAAACATTTAAAAAAATCAAAAAGGAGTAAAACTTCAAAAATTTACAAAGATAGAAATGATTTTGAGCATGTTCTTTGGTCACATTAGACAATTATAAAATAAACATATTTAAAAACTTATAATTGCCTGTAAATTTAACAGTATATTTCTAAATAATTCATAGGTCAAAGAAGAAATCAAAAAGAAAATAAGAAAATTCTTTGAATGGAAAGATAATAAACATATGACATATCAAAACTTCTGGGATACAGCCAAAGCAGGGCTTAGAGGAAAATTTATAGTCTTAAATGCACATATTAGAAATACCTAGGGGACACTTGAAGAGAAAGGAAGGAGATTTGACTAACCACCTTGGACAGAGACTCCCGTAGAAGTAGACTTGTTTAGTGAGGAGATAGCTTTTGGAAAAAGCTGAAAGTTATATAAACAAGATCCAACCAGGAACAATACCAAAAAAAGATCTTTTAGGGGAAAAGGAAATTATACTAGGTGGAAGAAAAGTAATGTTGAAGGAATGATGCACAGCAGAAGGGTACATCCAAGTGAATAGTGACAGTATAAAGCAACAGTAATATTGTTTTATGGGCTTTCAAATATGTAGAATTCAAATACATGACAATAATAACATACAAGGTAAAAGGGAGGGACAAAGAAGTAATAGTGTCCTAAGGTTTTTCCACCACCTTTGGAATGGTAAAGGTACTAATTTATGGTAGAATTCGAGTCTATGATGCTCATTACAATTGTTAGAGTTACTCCAAGAGTAAAAGAAGGGAAAACTAAACTAAAAGCCAAAGAGGAAGAAATGGAATAATAAAAAGATCTTGAAGAACCCAAAAGAATGCAAGAAAAGAGAAAAGAAGGAACAGAGACAAATGAGATGAACATAAAACAAATAGTAACATGATAGATTTGAACCCAAGCATTATCAGCAATGGTAATACTAGTCATCAGGAATCGGTAATATGAGTAATTGTAAATGGAACAAATGCTCCAAATGAAAGACCCTTAGACTGGTTTAAAAAAAGAACCATTTGCTGCTTACAAAGACGCATATTAATTAAGACACCATTTGAGAATAATAATATGGAGATATATGATGAAAATACTAATCAGAACAATGCAGATGTAGCTAATCTGACATCAAAGATTTCGAAGCAAGAGGCGTAACTTGGGATAAAAAGGTACATTTCATAATGACAACAGGGTCAGCCAACAAGAAGGCGTAACAATACTTTTTGTGTAAGCACTTAATGAAACCATTTTAAAATACTTAAAGCAAGGACTGTCAGAAAAAAAGAATAGACAAAAATCACAATCATAATCATAATGAGAGATTTTAACACATCCTTAAGTAACTGGCAGAAAAGACCAAAACCAAATCCAACACCAAACCAAACAAAACTAAATAAAACAAAACGAAGTAAAAAGAGTAAATCTATAGAAAGTTTCCACAAAACGGCCTTACTGAGATAAATAGATACCTAACTCTACACCTAAAAAATACAGAACACACATTCTTTTCAAGAACACAAAGAACATTGGTCACATTCTGGACAAAAAAATAAATCTCAGCAAACTTAGAGAAATAATGACAGATATTCTTTGGCTATAGTGGACTTTAGTTAGAAGTTGATAAGAGAAAAGATAATTAGTTGGAAATTAAACAACACGGCTACAATAGCCCACAGGTCAACAAAGAAATCTCAGTGGAAATGAGAACAGGTTTTGAAGTGAGGAGAAACTAATCATTGGCGTGTCAGACTGGGAGGATGAGGCCAGATGTACTTCTGGCAGGGAGGGTCAGGCAGTTGGAGAAAGGCCTCTCATAGACACGCTCCCCTCCCCCAGTGCTGGCTGTGCGCCATGCTCCCTGGGCCCAGCTGGTGGTGTGGGCTCCGCCAAGGTCACGAGCGGGCTTGGCAACCGCCTCCGCTCCCCGGGAATGGGCTCTCCAGAGTTCCTGGAGGTTCCCTCATCCCTGGTAATCCTTTCCTGCACTGCATGAGGATAAGCCAGGTGGACACAAGGCCCCCACAGTGGGGCTGCAGCTGCAGGAGGGAGCAGCCCTGCGAAAGTGCAGGCAGCAGGCATGGTGCACACATGCCTGTGGTCCCTAGGCTGTGTGATCTGCTTGGCTTTCTGTTTGGAGATGACAGGAGGGACACAGCAGGGGAGTGGGGAGAGGCACTGGACAGAGACGCCGGTCACAGGGAGGTGGTCAGCAGCTCAGGGCCCCTAGTGGGCAGGGCCTCATGTGGTCCGGAGCTAGGAAGGACATCACCAGCGGCAGCTGCCACTGCCTCCTCCACTGAGCTTCCCCAGCTCCCAGCGTTGACACTGAGGACGGCCATGTTTCAGAAGGTGCTCCTGCTTGGGGGGCTCATCATGCTGGGCACACATGTCTGGACCATTCATAAAGAATTTGTAGACATCAGTAAGAACCTAGATTATTTTGTGGCATCGGTGCAGTTTGCCGTGGCTCGGTTCAATGACGACAATATGGAAGAGTACACATACACGTTGCTGGAGGTTGGGCGAGCCCAGCAAAAGGTGAGTGGCATCATTTTGTCCATTCCCAGAGCTCTCTTCCCAGATGAAGAGCCCTCAGCCTGGCACAATGTCAGCAGGGACTGGCTGCTGCCTGTTCCTGCAGACAGGGGCCTGTGGACCCTCCCTCCTACACAGAGCTCACAGCTTTCTGCATCTTTTCCTATTTCTGTGACGATCTGCCCCTTCCCTGGGTTGCACCCCCAGCCCTGAGCTCTGGGAGGCTGCAGGGGCCTGTTGGGCACTGAGGACTGGACTGCTGCTCCACCCCAGCCATGGAGCCCCAGGGTGAGCTCAGTGACCAGGGACCATGCAAAGGGGTTAGGTGTGCATGAGTGCTCTTGGTGTGTGTTGGGGCATGAGTGTGTGTGTGTTCTTGGTGTGTTTGAGAGCATGAATGTGTGTGAGTGTGTTGTCGGTCTGTGTGGGAGCATGAGTGTATGTGAGTGTGTTGATAGTGTGTGTCAGGGCATGAATGTGTATGAGTGTGTTGGTCTGTGTGGGAGCATGAGCGTGTGAGTTTGTTGGTGTGTGTCAGGGTGTGAGTGTGCATGTTGTTGGTGTGTGTTGGTGCATGAGTATGTGAGTGTGTTGTCCATGTATTTCAGAGCATGAATGTGTGTGAATGGGTTATTGGTCTGTATGGGAGAATGAGTGTGTGAGTTTGTCGTCGGTGTATATCAGGGTGTCAGTGTGTGTTGGTGTGTACTGGGTCATGAGTGTGTGTTGTTGATGTGTATCAGGCATCAGTGTGTGTGAGCGTGTTGGTGTGTGTCAGGCATGAGTGTGTATTTTGGCATGTGCCAGCCATGAGTGTGTGTGAGCGTGTTGGTGTGTGTTAGGAATGAGTATGTGTGTGTTGGTACGTGTCAGGGCATGAGTGGGGACCGTCACCTCCATGGACTGCTGAGCCCCAAACGCTGTCAACATTCTAGTCAATTTTCAGGCCAGTGTTCCAGCCTGCGCAGACTTCCTAGCTATATTAGTTTCTGTCTCTGTTTGGGTTCTTTCGGAGTTTTCATGGGCCTCTATATTAGGAAATGATATTAATTTTTCAGAACTTTTTCTTAAAGCCTAAGAAACATACACAACAGCATGGCGCACATGCGTGTTCACCTCCGTGCACATTTGCAACATGAGCACTTTTGTGCACTCAGCTGTCACAGGACACAGAACAATCCCAGCCCCCAGGAACCTCGCTGTGCTCCAATCTAAATTCTAGTCCCTTATGGGATCTTGACATTGTGGTTTCTAATCACAGGCATTAGTCTTATCCATTTTCCTACTCTATGTAGAAGGAAGCATTCAGTGTGTACCTCTGTGTCTCGCCGATGTGGCTCAGCTGTGTGTTGGTTTAGTCCATGTTGTCAGGTGTGGCTGAGGCACCAGCAGGCTCACTGCCGTGTGGGATCCCACTGTGGGAATGTGCCACACCCTACACATTCATCCCCTGTCGATGTGACCGCCAGGTGTTAGCCATTGGGCAGAGCGCTGTAGCCAAGAGTCCAGTGTGTGTTTTAGGCACACTTGATGGGCACATTTCTGTAGACCCACAGAGAAATGGCACTGTGTGTATATCCCTACATAAATGCACACACATGTTCCAGTCGTTTGCCCACTTTCAACTTGTTTCTCCTCCTGTTTTATTGATTTATGAAAAGCAAATATTTAGCAGCTGTTTGTATAATTTCTTTTTGACAGACGTGGACAATGATATATTTAATGGACTTGGAATTGGGCCCCACAACTTGTAAAAAACATGACGAAGACATTGACAATTGCCCATTGCAAGACTGCGCAGGAGAGAAAACGGTCTGAGAACAAAATCAGCCCCAAAGCGTCGTGAATCTTCCAGGATTGAAAACAATGTCCTGGGGTCCTTTGGGAGGAGGCTCAGAAAAGTTGTCAGGGGTAATCCTGGGGCAGACTAGGGCTCCTAACCCCTCTCCCTCGGGTCCCAGGGCTCCCCCACAGGAGACAGAAGGAGGTCATTTAAGCAGACAGAGCCAGCCCCCTGCACCGGGGCCAAACCCTCTGCCCACAGTGCAGCCGGCTGCCCATAGGCCGCGTGTACACGCCCACAGCCTTCTCCTCTGGGTGGAGCTCTCTCTCTGGGTCCCAGCCCTGGACCTTCCTGAGACCTTTGAGGTCTGGGCAGATGATGCTCTCCCTGTGGTCCTCACTCTTCTTTGCTCATGTTCCTGGGGATTGGAGGACTGTTTAGTTTATCTGGTCACCCAACCTGTCCCTCTAGTCCCTGTGTCACTAGGACATTTCTGGGTCAGTCTGAGCTCTGACATCATCATCCTATGGCTGACAGGTGATCCATGGGATCCTGGAGCTTGGGCGTGGGCCTCAATCAGGGTGACAGGATCAGAGGGGCTGGTCTCACCCTCCCACCCTGGCCTGTGGGCAGTCTCCCCTTGGGGTGGGTTTATAGCTGCAAGGTTGGGGGGTGCCCATCTAGGGGGCAGTCTGCTGGATCCCCTAGAACACATGGGATTGGGACAGTTCGTGCCCCTGGGAGGCTGTGAGTGGACAGGATGCCTCAGGGGACAGGTGATGGTCCCAGCCAGGAGCCCTTTCAGGAGTCCCCAGGCTCAGGTGGGAGGATTCAGTCACCTCTGTCCATGGTCCTGGTGGAGCCTTGGGCTTCTCAGGCCCTGCCCCTAGGTGACTGTTTTTGATTTTCATGTTTTGTAGTTTTTAATGCATCTTGTCCCTACCGCATGCCAAATGCTTCAGATGAATTACATTTTTTTCTTATTTTTGTGTTGCAATTATTTCATTTCAGGTTCGCTGCACTTTTGTGGTGGATGCCCGACCTTGGTTTTCCGAGTTCAACTTCCTGAACAGCACCTGTGTGCAGAAAACGTGGTGATGGAACCCCTGGCTTTTCCCAGCAGAAGTCCTGTCTTGCTCTGGAGTGTAGCAATCTGTAGTCCCAGGTCTGTGCAACATCAGTGGAATTAAAGGCATCTCAGCACCTTCTGGGTCCCTGAGCAGTTTTGTGCTCTCCATACTGTGTATCTGCTGTGGATGCTGCTGCCAGCGACACTCGATGGTGAATTTATTATCATTATTGTTATTACCTTGGTTGCAGGTGCAGTGTATTGAGTGAATCAAACTCCCCATTTGATGTGAGGCAGTTCATGTAGGGGCCTGCTGGTTGTTTTGTGTGCTCATTCATTCATTCTTCCATTCTTTCATTTGTTCATTCATTCATGTATTCATTCACTCTCCAATTTCTCTATGCCCCTCATTCATCTACTCCAAAGGAATGCAGAACATTTTGTCAGCTACCTGTGTCCCCTCTGTTTCCATCTCAGGGACCAGGCTCACAGTGGGTGGCCCTTCTGCAGAGGGGCCAGGCCCAGGCTCAGGCCCAGGGAAGGTAACTGAAGCTGAGAGGAGGCTCTGCCCTCTGTGGACACCGCGGGCTGCATGACTGACAAGGACATCTTCTGTAGGGCTCAGACGACAGCTCAGAGGGTGGCAGCTGCAGTCCCATGTTCTCATCTGTTCCTGATCCCTGAGTTCCCCTTCCAGGGCCCAGCCTGGCCTCCACGGCTGTCAACACCACACCCTGTCCCACGTATAGACCCCCACCCTGATGGGCAAGTTCCTCTGCTGGGGTCCTGGTGGGGGAGCAGCCTTGTGGGGTCACAGAGATGGAGGTGTTGGGGGACGTTGGTGGGACAGAGAGACAGGGACAACATCGTCTGGGGGAATCGTTCCAAATGGAAGAGTGAGGGGTCTTTCCTCCTCCATGCTGGGTTTCTGGGAACCTTGATTTGAATGTCCATTGCTCAAAAGTCTGCCTTTTTCCTGGCTGACCCATTCCCATGAACGTGTCCTAAGGGCTGAGGGGACAGGGTTTGAGACACAGCTCTGGGCAGCTCCAGTGGGCACAGCACAAGGACAGGGTCCTGAGCCAGCTTTGGCCCTTCGACCGGCCTGTGTGCAGGATTTGTCACAGCCTCCCACAATGTGATGGGGCATGTTTACATTACCAAGGTATGTGTGTGGTCAGCGGAGCTGGTCTGTGGCTGGCCCTTGGCTTTGAGAGCTGTCATGCTCAGAGGGGTGGAACCTTGTTCATGGACCCCAAGCCCACTGTTCAGGGACAAGGACAGCGAATCCCTGAGCTCTAGCCGGCTTCGCTCACTGGTGGAAGTGCCTTTACCTTCACCTCTCTGCTCCATCAGGAAGGCCAGGGGTCTTGCTCTTTTATACAATATTCTAGTTGTGTTCTACCTTGATCCACACAAAACCCTCTTGGTTTCATTTTGCATTTCTCTTAGAGAACAGGGTTTACCCCTATCTATGGTATAAGAGAATATGTTGGCCTGATATCAGAAATACATAAAGTCCCCACGTGATTGGCACTTGGGTCCAAGGTTGTAAGTTGTTTTTAAGGATTTCCAGTTTTTGCAAATTGTGTTAATTGCTGTTAGCATATTTGTGGTCCATCTTTGCTCTGGTTCCAGCTCTCACAGGAGTGGAAATCATGGCCCTATGGTGCATTTCACTGAGTTGATCCTCAGAGGTCACGACCTGTGTAAGGGTCTTTGACAGGCCTGATAAATTTCGTGCCTGCCTCCCATTTTCATATGATGAACACAAATTCGTAGATTTTGAATCATGTGTCAGTATTCAAGACCCGCCAGAATCCAGACATCTGTGTTGTGTTACTGCGTTCTGGAGAAACCGCTCTGCATTTGATCTAGTCATTAGTTGGCCCAAATCAGTGGGCAGTAAAAATATATTTGAATGTTATAGTATACACAAGAAAGTTGATGCATATTTCAAAAATTCTAGATGTCCATAAAACTCAAAATGTTTGCTATATTTCGTGGGATGCCCTGGAGTGAAGGAATATAATACAATTGCTGACATCCCTTCTGAGACTGCGACTTAAACAAAATCTCAGCCCTGGAAGATCAAGGGAAGCTCCCAAGGAGGAAGGCAGGGCAGTGGAGGAGGAGGAGGCGGGAGGACTATGCTGCCTGCACAGTGCACATTGTGACATTCGTGCAGTGTGGCTCATGTCCCTTAACCCTCCCCTCGGCCACCCCCTTTCCTCTCAGGGCTCTGGGCAGCTACTCTTGTGGGTAATCACGGGGGTTTTCCGAACCTGACCTCAGGGCTGAGTCAGTCCACACCCATCACCCATTACCCTCTGAACTCTCGGGTTTCCAATCCCACAGATCCATAGCATTCCGTAAAAGGACAAATCAAAGGCACAGCAACACTTGCCACTGCCACTTGTTATCTCCTTTTTGCGATGCTTCCCAAATATTATTTTTCAGAACAGAATTACCCACCACAGAAACTGCTGTGGTTTATTTCCTCCCTGTGTTCTCTTATGAGGTTACGTTGTCAGTGCGGGAACATCATTAGCAGATCAAAGCAGCAAATCTATTCCCCAAACCGTCACAATTATCGTGAGGAGCTTCTCGTCTGGTCTCCAGCTGCCCCGCACCAGGCTCCATAGACCCTGCGCAACCTTCCCGTTCCTCTTCCAGCCTCCTGGCAGCACCCCACTCACACAAGCTGCTCCTCTTTGAATGATGATACCTATCGTCTCTGTGGCGGTCTGTGTTTTGCACAGATCTGTCCTATGGCTTATGTCCTTGTGCATAGCAGCCAGAAAAAGCTAAAATGTCATCCAAATCAGACAAAGCCTCAAATTATGTCTATATTTTAAAAATACAGAAGGTTCATTTTAAAATAAATACTAAAGGGAATTGTCTGGACATTAGGAAAACTGTCCCAAATGCAGAAATAGTATGGTAGGAAGAAGGAAAGAACGCTCAAAAGGGTAAATTTGTGGATAAATCTGGATGATATGCTGAGTGTAAAAAACCAATATTGTATTGGAGATTGTACAACATGTACAGGATTCGTGTACATGAAAATAATAGTGCAAAGTTAGGAGAGAAGAACATGTAGCTAGAATGATGTCAATAGACTGAATGCACAATTAAAATACAAATTCATCTGACTTTAAAAAACAAAAGAAAAAAACAAGAAAAGGAAATACATCTTAAATATCCCAGAATATGGAGATTTTGGAAAAATAAGGATGGCTTAAAGTGTACTATGCCAACACTAACCAAACACCAGTGTGAGGGTACTAATATCACATACAACAAACTCTAAGATAAGAAGCATTGCCTGAAATAAAGATTGATATTTTACTAACGATATAACACATCTAAGTATGTATGCCCCATCTTAAAATACATAAAGTGAAAATGGCAAGAACAAAAAGGAGAACCAATCAAATTCGCAATTGTAGTGACAGAGTATAAAGCACAACTTCCAGAAACTGATGAAACTAAACCAACAAAAAAGAAATCAGTAAAGCCATGAAGGTTCTGAACAACACAGGATCAAATTGTCTTTCTGACTTATGTAGTCACTGAAAACACTCGGTGATTTATTTTCTTTTCAAGTGCACATGCAACATTTTCAGAATTGATCAATTCTGTTCCAGAAAGCAATTCTCAACAAAATTCACAGGCATGGTGTCATCCAGACTGTGTTCTAGAATCACAGTGAAATTGAGCCAAAAGCCAATAACAAAATGTTAATTAGAAACTTCCAGATCGCCAAAGAAGTCTCCCAGGTCCTTGCAAATCCTTCTCGTCCCCAGACCTGGCTCTCTACCAGCAGTGACCCAGAGATCGAGGGGGTGCAGTTGGAGGATGTGATGCTAAGAGAGTGAACCCTTTGGAGGGGCACCTCTCCGAGAATGACAGCTCCAGGACGAAACCTTACACCTTTCAGGTCCCACCACAGACAACGCCAGGGATTGGCCAGGGAGGCCTTTTGGGGAAGCTGCCGTGCCCTCACAGCCAGTGTGGGGCCATCTCTGCAGGGAACTGCAGCCAAGGACCCAAGCACTCCTCCCTTGGGGGATGCAGGTGCCCAATTGGGACCCTGCTCGGCTGGGACCTCCTCATGGATGAGGGCCACAGGGAAGCCCCTTTTCTCACTCTGACTCAATTCTCAGTCCTCTCTTACCCTGCACCCTTCTTCTTTGCCCTCCCCAGGGCCGGGGTCCTCTCTGGGTTATCTTTTCCCATTTATTCATTCTCTTTTCTCCCCACACCCACTCCAATTCTCTGCCCCTTTTCTTCTTAGACAGCCATCCTTAGGTCTTTTAAAATGTCTTCTACAGTTGGTGTTTTTGAACAATGGGTAGCATTGTTTTGTGTGTGTAATATTTACGGAATTGTGTTACTTATCTACTTGGAATTTTTACATTTTTTTCAGGCAACACTGTCTTTGAAAAGATCCATTCTTGTTTCTACGCATCCCTCCAGGTTAGCTTCCAACTCTTGCACAGTGCTTTGGGCCCGCTCACCCATTTTGCTCTCCCTTCCTTCCATTCCCAAATTATTTCTGACTCCCTGCCATTAAATTTGCTGCAATTATCTTCTTCCTTCAAAGTCCCTTGTGGATGTCCTTGAGAAATTCTTTGGACTGTACTCAGGAATGCACTTGCTGTGTCTCATGGTTTGCAAACTCTTGATTTGCCCTCCGGGATGGAGGCGCCAAGTCTTCCTTTCTACCAGCTGTGCAGAGGTACAGCTCCTACATCCTACATCCCTGTGGCAGTCTCACCGTTATCTAGCTTTCTAATTTTTCTTTTTCTTTTTTTTTTTTTTTCTGAGATAGAGTCTCTTTCTGTTGCCCTGGCTAGAGTGCAGTGGCATCATCGAAGCTCACTGTAACCTCCAACTCCTGGCTCAAGTGATCCCCCTGCCTCAGCCTCCTGAGTATCTGGGACTACAGGCACACATCACCATGCTCAGCTAATTTTTCTATATTTTGTAGAGACAGGGTCTCATGCTTGCTCAGCTGGTCTCGAACTCCTGAGCTCAAGCGATCTTCTCACCTCGGCCGCCCAGAGTGCTAGGACTATAGGCATGAGCCACCACGCCTGGCCTAACTTTCTAACTTTTAATAGGCTAATAGGGGAAAAGGAGTACCCATTTCACTGGTGCTACTCATTTGCACTTCTTTGGTTAGCAATGGGTTTGAACATCTTTTGATAGGCTGCTCAAGCTCAGGAGTTCAAGACCAGCCTGAGCAAGAGTGAGATTCTGTCTCTATAAAAATAGAAATATTAGCCAGGCTTGTCGTTCCAGCTCTTAGATTTCACTTCTGAAATTACAGCCTCATAATATTAGCTTATTTATTTTTCAAGATTGCTCTCTCTCTCTCTCTCTCTCTTTTTTTCTGATATCTTTGAGTTTCTTGAGTTTTCTAAGAGACTGCTATTCGAAGTACGGTCTGTGGACCGGTGCCCACGTGTTTGTTACCAGCCCGCTGTAAGATAAGTATGGAAATTGTGAGTAGGGACTGACAGACTTTCATAGCAATTTGATATTATTGCAATATCCTGGCATGCGATTTTGTGTCTTAAAAACTATCAGTATGCAATGGTTTGAAATTAAAAACAAAACCAAACAATAAAACTGGTCCTTTATAACAGAGATTTTGAGAAACACGGGATGTTCTCTGTTGGTTATCAGGTTCATCTCCACACTGATTTCCTGTTCTAGATGCTAATTTTTGTTAGTGCTAGACATGGCCAGCGTCTTCGTCTATACTGTCATCGGTCTATTGACTTTTGTTAGTGGCATCCTTTGTTGATCAGAAATCCTTAATTTGGTAATTTTTGATGTTGGGTATGGCATTTTATGCTAAAGACTTTTTAGAGTATTCTTCAAGTCTTTTCATCTCTGCTTGTTTTTTGGCTTCTTGATCTACCAATTTTAGGCTTCAAAACTATCAGATAAAAAGTCGATCACTTATCTTTTGTCCTGCAATTTTCTCATTTTCTGTTAGGTATGTGTTAGGCATATAAATATTTTGATGACTGTATTTTTTGTCCTATTTTTTCTTTTGTATGTTTTTGTTTCTGTATTAGTTTTCTATATTATGTAACAAATAACCACAAACTTGGCAGCTTAAAACAGTGCCCACCTGTGATCTCAGTTTCTCAGTTTCTGTGAGTCAGACTTCTCTGAGTCCTCTGCTCAGCATCTCACCACTGCAATTCTGGTGTCAGCCAAGACCAAGAACTCAGACAAGGCTTGGGGTCCTCCTCCAAGTTCACATGAGAGTTTGTTTTAGGACACTCAATTCTATTCTACTTATCTCCGTATCTATCTTTATGTCAGTACCATACTGTTTGGAGTACTGTAGCTTTATAGTAAATTTTGAGATTGGGAAGCGTGAGTCCTCTAACTTTATTCTTTTTCAAGATAGTTTTACATGGTCTGAGTTCCTTGCTTTTCCATGGGGAATATGTCCATGAAGCTCCTAGATCTTTCATCCTCCAAGTGAAACTTCTCTCTAGACACTCCTTTAAAGGATGCATTTGATTAGGTAAGGTCCACCCAGGAACATCTCCCTTTATATTATCTCAAAATTAACAGATTAGGGACCTTAATTATGTCTGCAGTACCATCCGTCATCTTTGCTGTATAACCTAACCTAACCGTGTGTGTGTGTGTGTGTGTGCGTGCATGTGTGTGTGTGTGTGTGTGTGTATGCTTATGAAGAACAAAGGGGTATTTGAGTGTCAGAGGCATAAGACTTGGATCTTTTACCTAATTAACGACCACCACCACATATTTCTCCAAAATCTAAACCCTAGAATTACTGCTTCAATTTGGTGAATGTGTGTGTATCAGTCAGCTATTGGCACAGATGTGCTGCGTAACAACCTACCCCGACCTGGTGGAGAACCACAACAGGTCTTCACCACCAGGTGCATGGATCTGCAGGCTGACTGCAGGTTGGCTGGCCTGGGGGATTGGCTGTGTGGCTTTACTTCAGGGTGACACGGCTGGCTTCACCACAGGGGAAGGTGGGACCCAGATCATGTGTTCCCAGACCCAGCGAGTCTATATGAGAGCATGCTTAACCTTGACCAGTAACATAAATAAGACAAATCAAATCAATCAAACATAATTATTCTCTTATCCTACTAAGAAAGAATAAGTAGGCAGAAGGTAAAGATGCAGAGAAGCAAAGATTGTCACAGTTCGATATCTCTCTACTCAAATTGTGGTCTGAGAACCAGCAGCATTTGCATCACCTGGGAGCTGGTTAGAAATGCAGACTCTCAGGCCTCACCCCAGTCCCCCGAATCAGCACCTGCATTTTAAAAAGATTGCCAGGCAGTTCACGTGAACATTAATGTTCAGGAAGCATGGATGCAGCACACTGGTTTTCAAACTTGGCTGTCAATTGGAACCCTTGGGGGAACTTTACTTTTTTTTGAGACAGAGTCTCACTCTGTCACCCCAGCTAGAGTGCCGTGTCATCAGCCTAGCTCACAGCAACCTCAAACTCCTGGGCTCAAGCGATTCTCCTGCCTCAGCCTCCCACAAGTAGCTGGGATTACAGGCTCACTCCACCACACCTGGCTAATTTTTCTATTTTTAGTAGAGACAGAATCTCACTCTTGCTCAGGCTAGTCTCAAACTTCTGAGCTCAAGCAATCCTCCCGCCTCGGCCTCCCAGAGTGCTAGGATTACATGCATGAGCCACTGTGCCTGATCCCCTTGGGGAAACTTTAAAAACTGCTGGTTTTACAGATTCTTTTCCAGACATTCTGATTTTATTGATGAGGTATGGCCCAGTGTCTTAAAACTCCCCAAGTGCTTTCAATATGCAGGAAAATTTGAAAATTGTGAATACATAATTAGTGATGAACAATCTGGTAATAAATAATAAATTTAAATTGATACACAGCTTTGCATCGATTCCCCATCTAGTCTTTTATTATGCAAAAATACTTGTGCACTGTCACAAAGGTATTGGAAAAGTATTGCTCACCACGGTACTGCCTGTGACAGCTGAAAATGAGAAACAACCAAATAATCCACCAATGGGGAGAAAGTTTAAATACAATGTGGAGCATTCACGCTCCGCAGTGTTTTACAACCTGCCTGGCAGATTTACACCCACATGTGTTTCCCGTACATTGCCCTCCCTCACGGTCAAGGGTCCATCAATCTTCACAGTCTGGGATGAATGCCCACCTCTCTGTCCCTCTAGGAACTTGCTGGACACTGATTTGAGATTTTTACAGAAAAGCAGAATCTCTGAGAACTCAATGGGATCAAGGCCCCCTTCTCCCTCTAAGGCTCAGGCTCAGGCCTGGGCATCAGGGTGGGCAGTGTGAGCCCTGCGCTGCAGGGCGGGGAGGGGGTGCTGCAGGCCACACCCATAGAATCCAGAGGCCAGGCATTCAGGAGGCTGGGGCTGTGACACAGTGGGCAGGAGACCCCGAAAGGCCCTCCACTCGAGGGCACAGCAAGAGGCTGCCTGCTGTCTGTGGCCCTCTGAGAACTGCATGAACCAAAAGGCCAGAGGAGGGCAGGTGAGAGATGCCCTCACCGAGGCAGGGCACAGATGCTAAATTACATCACAAAGTGACACCTCCCTGCATTGTGTGGACTCAGAAGGTCAAGCTAGACCCAAGATCAGGACCCACAGAGCCCCCTGAGTGGGGCACAGGCATGAGCGCAGAGTGCTGAAGACCAAGAGAACCACAGCCAGGTGGGCGGGTCAGCGCCCATCTCCACAAGGGGGAAGAGGGAGCCGCGGCTGGAGCAGGCTGGGAAGTCCGCGGAGGGCTGGCGCCAGGAAACCTTGAGGACAGCAACAATTTTTGTGGTCACATTTTACAGGACTGAGAAGCAGGTAACAAACGTGGGTGGTGACAGGCACGGGGTAGGTGTAGACACATCCAGGTCTAAGTGGAGGGCAGTTCTCCCCAGAAACACAGACTGCATCCAGGGTAAGAAGGAGGATCCTGGTGGCAGAGTCTCCTTTACTGGGTCCGTGGGTGGGTTTCCTTGGAGAAGGAAAGGGCTAAAGGGTGACCCTAATGGCTCTGTCTTGAATCCAGCTGGGCTGATGCTGAGAGAAGGCAGCGTGTGGCGGTAAGACCCTTGGATCCACAGTGGCGGCAGCAGCGGCCACCCCACCCTGCCCAACGCCTCCTGCAGCTCCAACCCCGAGAGAACCAGGAGACTCACCTGTGCCTCCTGACTGAGGGACCATGAGCAGACCCTGGTGGCTCTCCCTGTTCCTCCTCACCCTTCCTATGGCCCTGGTGGCCGGCACAGACCCAGGAAAGAATGAGTTGACGACGGAGTTGAGGACATTTAAAACCATCAACACCACAAGCTCCAATGTGAAGCAGTGTCTGTGGTTTGCCATGAAGGAATACAACAAAGAGAGTGAGGACAAGTATATCTTCATGGTGGCCAGAGTGCTGCGGGCCCAGATGCGGGTAAAGGTGTTTTCTTCACATAGGAGGGCATTTGCATATGGGGCACAGAGTGAGGCCAGGCAGAGAGAGTGGGCATGTGAGAAAAGTACTGATATACAAAAATCCTAGATATGCGAGTGCTTAAAAGTGTACCCACTCGCACAGTACCAAACAACAGTGCACGCGTAGGGCACTTTCTATATATGCTTAGGCTGTTCTTCTAAGTTCTTTGCATATATTAACTCGTTTAACCTCAAAACTGCAAATCAAATGTTCACATACTCACTAAGATGAGGAGACAAATCTAGCGCTGTGAATCTTTTCCAATTCTGCTGTCACAGGTGATATTTTAACCCATCCACATAACACGGAATGTGGGGTTGGACAGAGGCACAAAATTTTTAAAATATTTTAGTTCCACATTTATTTAGTGGAAGTGGAGACGTACTGATTTTCTGTTTATAAAAACGTGGCCTTCTTCACAGGGCCCTGAGTTGCCCAACTCTAGAAGGCATCGCTTACTCGGATTCCAAGGGGCATGGTGCTCTCTGGGGTTTGCAACACGGTAGTGGGGGGCCTGCCTGCTCTACTCAGTAATGGTGCCCGTTGTTGGAACTCAGCTGACCATGAACACCAGCTTCAGTCAGTCGGGTGGTGGTGTGACTTGTCATTACACCATGAAATGTGCAGGGTTGGGTTACAAAGATACTCAACCAATAGGTCATTGTTGGAGGGGTCATGGGAAAACGTGAGTTGAAAAAACAGTGAACTGTGAAGGAGGCCAGGAACAAGAGTGTGGTGGTTAGGGACACTCGCTGCAGTGCTGGGACACCGTGGCTTGATCCCTGGGTCGGCTGCTTGCTAGATACATAATAACTTAGTCTCTCTGCACCCCAGTTTCCTTACTTGACAAAGAATGGGGGTGACAGCCTGACCCCAGAAGGCTGGGGTGCGGAGTAACTGAGCTGTTGATTGCGAAGGCCCGAGGCTGGGTCTGCCAGGACGGTTACTGTATTCCTAGGAAGCTCTGTTGAGGGTCAGGTTCACCTCCACAGTATTTTCAAGGTTCCCTAAGTACAAACCTAACTCCCAAACCCTGCTGGTACCTCTTGATGTCAAACCAGCTTCTCCCCTTCAAGACAGGCTAGAGTCTCCTCTGCTAACTCTTTGGAGCTCAGCTAAAATCTAACACAGCCTTACTGAAGCATGGAGAGAGCAAAGGAAAGTGAGTCCAGGTGAACCTGGACCTGACTAGCAGACGTCCCTTTGCCTCCTACTGTAACCCGTTAAAGCCAGATGAAAGCAGATTTGGAGGGATGGCATGACTAGCCTTAATTGCATTCCATCATCAGTGAATTCGGTAAATGCTGATTTCTTACTATAAACCTACAGCTGTTCTACTCATTAAAGATTCAACAGAGGACAAGGCAGATGAATTCAGGCCTGCAGGGACTGTGACCTGAGCTGGTGGCAGGGGACTTGGGTGGGGAAACCCCAGAGGGTGGGAGATTTTACAGGCATCTGAAGGGGTGTGTATGTGAAAGGGATTGGGCAGGGAGCCCAGTATGGCTGAGGGGGCTGTCATCTCACCAGGCCCAGGTGAACCTTAGCATCTAGCCCGGGAGAACTGATGGTTCTGGGGACCCCTTACTTCCACCCATATCCATCACAGAGCATACAGCATACCCCAAACTTTGGGATGGAAAATGGAATTAGGTCATGCCTTCAAGGAGGCCCTAAAGCGGAGAGGAGCCTGTTCCCCAAGTGTCTAGCTCCAGGTGGCTGCCAGAGTTGTCACTTGTCTCAGTGTGCAAAGGAATCCAGGCAGCGGGTATCCCAGGCTTTCCCCTAAAGATATATCTGGGAGGGGGGAAGGGAGAAAAGGGGAGAGGATGAGAGAGTGATTTTTGTGTTTGTCAATGCTGTTTTAAAAAAATAAGACTTTTTTGAATAAAATTGCACAATTGCTGATTGACAGGTCACACATTGTCTGGAATACATTATTGATGTTGAAATTGTCCGCAGCAATTGCAAAAAGATCTCAAGCAATAATGAAAGCTGTGCCATTCAAAGAAACTCTAAACTGGAAAAGGTAGGTGACAAACCAACTGTCAGTGATGGTCTTAGCAGCTCTGAGCCCCAGACGGAACACATTGGGATGCCTGGACTCTTGCTTTGAGGTCTGGATCGTTCCAATAACTTTAGTTGATTTCCAGTGGTCAGCCCCAGATTGGTCGCTTCTGTGGCCTTCAGAGCAGAGGACGCAGGGGCACAGGACATGGTGGAAGCCTCAGAGTCTTTGCCCCATCCTCGTCCCAGGGACAGGATGTTGTTAAGGCCACTCTTATCTCAAGGGCTCCATTGACTCTGGCCTTTTGATGCAGGAACATTTGCCAACACATATTCACTGGAAATCTGTCCTCTTGGGCAGACCAGCCACCCACTGTTGCTGGTTCACAGCTGCTCATCCCTGTACAGGCATATAAGGACATTCATTCATTCACTCATCCACTTGTACAAACATACTTAGCACCAGGTACTACGTACGTTGTACCAGGCCTATTCTGGGTGCTGTCAATTAAGCAACGACTAGGCCAGACAGTGTCCCTGGTGTCCTGGGCTTACCGTTGATTCTTGCTGGGCTTATCCAGGGTTTCCACAAAGGTCAGGGAAAACCCAAGACTCCAACCGAAGGGCTGACTTGGCCCAGGGACTTTTGGCATCAAGCCTATATTTTTCTTGGTCTCAGAGCTGGGAAAGAGCCCTGGACTGTTCATCCAACCGTACTTAGTCTGAGACTGATAGGGGCCCCAGGCACTCTGCAGGTTTGCCCAACAGGTGTACCTTTGCCCCTCTCCTTGCAATGGTGGTTCTCCAGTGTGAATAGGCATCAGAATCACCTGGGGGAGTCGCTAACCCCAGATGGATGGGTCCTACCTGCAGAGTTTCTGATTCAGTAGGTCAGGAAATGGAGTCCAAGAATTTGCATTCTTAACATGGTCCCAAGTGGAGTTGCGCCTGCTGCTGGCATTGGGATCCCATGTTGAGAACCACCGCTTTCTGTATGGCCACGGCACAGGAAGTGCAAATACAATTAATGACGTGCACTCCCGTTATGTGTGGCGAAAACTGCCTCGTATACCCTCAAATTAGACTAGTCCTACCATTTCCAGGTAATAGCAGGTAACCCGTCAGGATAAACCTGTAAGCTGTGAGCATGTCCTAATGCTATTTGATCTTTTATGTTTGTTTAATCTTTTATTGGTATTAGGAGTATGGCTATTTTAAATTTGTATTTTATCCTGTTTGGGGGTTATCCTGTTTTTGGGGGGAGGGTTATAGGAAAGTTGTTACTTTTGCTTGTTTGAGGGAAATATTAAAGAAAATTAAGGAGACTTTTCCACAGGGAGCCCACTTGTGTCTAAGATTTCCATGACTCCTCTTGGTTTTTAAGGCATACTTTTAAAAAAATACATTTATCAGTAGTGAAAACTTTCCTTCTTTCCAAGCCTTTAGGATAATGCTGAAGAGTAATAGTACTGGACAGTTTTTCTTGTTCCCAGCTTTAATGGAAATGTCCCCATTATTTATATTCTATTATTAAATATTACCTCAAGTGCTGATTTCTGAAATTTCTTCAATTCTCTCTCTTTACTAAGAGTTATTTTTTTAAATTAAGAATGTTTTCTTCTATCAAATATTCTTTTAATATCCACCAAGTATATTGAATATTTTTCTTCTTTAACCTATTAGTATAATTAATTAAAATAATAGATTCCCCAATATTGAGCCATTCTCACATCTGGAATAGGGTGTGCTTGTATTTGTGTGTTTGTGTGTATGTGTTTGGCAGTTTTATAACTTTACTTGATTGCCGGTGGTTACTTTTTATCCACATTGACTGTCTGTAGGTTTTTGAAAGTGGGGACAGGTACATAGGTAACAAGGGTATTGAGTTTGTTTGGGGAACCTTCGTCCTCGGCATGTTTTCTAGGCAACTATACGTGGATATGGCATGGGACACTCCGTGTGTTTTGGCCCGAACAGCTTTGTTGAGGTACACATCTTTGTTTCCATTTCTTTCATGGCAAATTTCTGGATTTCTCTGAGTGCCCAAGGGACACACTTCTTGAAGGCCACTCCCTGCACGTACTTATGAACGTGGTGGTTACTCGCTGGTACGCAGATGTGCTCTGTTATTATCCTCATTATCCTTCACAGGAGCCAGTCTGCTGGGCCCAGGCCGGAAAGGAAGAACGTGAAGGGTTCTGTCTGCACTTGTTATTTATTTGTTATTTAGAACACAGTGGGGTTTGATAGGCCACTTTTTAATTTAGAAATTTTGCTTTTATATGTATTAACTACTCTCAAACTCTCCCGATGCCCAGAATCACTTGGAGCATGTGGCAAACACACACACACACACACACACACACACATGTATGTATGCACACATGCACACATACACAAGTTCCATGGCCTTATCCCAAATCTACTGAATCAAAATTTCCCAGTGTAAACACCCACGTGTTTTATATAACTGGGGAAATCTGGGAAGCACTCCATTAGGGACAGTAATTGTTTAATATAAAACTGTCTTTAATTTGCTATTTTTTTGTTTAGGACGTTTGCTGTCTATTTGTTAGGTAAGTTTGGGTTATAATTCATTTCTCACTTATATCTTTGTTTCAGGATTTTGCCGGTGCAGTAAGTGAGAATGAGGTCTTTCCATTTTCTTCTGTGTTCTAGATCAGTGTAAAGACCACAGGAGATTTTGATGCCCAAAGTGTGATGTAATTTGCTTGCAAACCCATCTTGATTCAGTCTTTTTCATTGCATGTGTCCAATACTTACCGAGGACTAAACTTCCTTCTCTCTGACTCCATCTACCTCTTAACTCCTGGAGCCCAGTGTCTCCAGGCCACTTAAGATGCTGTTGGCTCTTTGCTGTTTTCCTCGTACTGTTTTCTCTTTACCTATCCATCCAGCCATTCATCCATTCATTTACCTATTACCCACATATAGAATATCTTATTTGTCATTTCTATGATATTTTGAAAGGGAGAGAAGGGCTCTTTGGAACAAAAGATATGGCAGGACCTAGAATCTTCTAAGTTGCTCCTATCCTGATTCCCTCATTACTAGAACAAAGGGTTTATTTAATCATTAAAATAACATACATGAGTTTCTATCTAATATAGAATTGCTTTATTTACATTGTAGGAAGTGTTAAAGAGAATTGAAAATAAAGTCAAGTTTACATCTAATCCCACACGAAAATATGGTGATTGTTAACATTTGTAATCTACCCGTGGTTAGTAGAGAGCAGAGATCCCTTGGGTAACTGCTGGTGGCTGCGAAGTCTGCAGCCTCCTGGGATCGTCCCCTGAAGGTGGTGAGTCCTCCCCCAGCACATTCCTAAGCTGACACTTAGCAACAGGACAATATTTTTTTCTTTTTCTTTTGGCACACTGCTGATTTTTTTTTGTTGTCGTCTTTTTCAGAAAGTAAGTTGCAGCTTTTTTGTGGAAGCGCTGCCCTGGAATGGCGAGTTCAATTTGATAAAGAAAGAGTGTGACGACGCCTGATGGTGTTTGCACATCTCCAACCTCTGTGTCTACCTCTCTGGGTGGAAAAATAGCAACAGCCGGAGGAGGGCTGCTCCCAACGTGCTTTCTGCACACATGTCTCTCTGCTTGCTGTTTTGTGTTTTAGTTCTATAGTACGTGGGGACGGAAGATGGGCATGTCCAATTCCTCTTTCCTGGCATTAAGGGTGGCCACTCAGCTTTGGCTGGCTTGATGGTCCACACCCCAGGGACAAGTTCGTCACCAGTACACAGAATAGAGAGAGTTCTGATTCCATTCCTCAGGGAAAATTAGAAGAGGAGTCCCTTTGGATGGGGTAACTGTCCCTCACAGAGGCCTGGACCCAGTGGGTTCCTTCTGGATGCCTCCTTTGGCCTGAGGCTCCTTCCTGTCAGAGAGTCCTGAGTAGACATGTCACCTGGGCTGGGCACCCTTGTGGCAGACAAGCAGCCCTTCTCTGTGGGATCTCTGTGGATTGGGAGGATTTACGTTTCTTCCCACGTGAATGTAAACAGTGGTCACAAAGAGACAGGAGTGAGGACAATAAATCCCGAAGGGTAAGCTGCATTGTTCATACGTGTGCACGTGTGTGTCCATGTGCCCGAGTGTGTGTGTGTGAGAGAGAGAGAAGGAGGGCCCCAGGCCTTCTGCAGGTTGCTCCTTTCCTAACACTGGTGGTGTGAACAGGTGTACAAAGGGTGCATTTGGGGAAGGAAGGAGGCAACAGGGGCAATAGCAGGAGATGAAATTCTCTTGAATAAAGGGATCATTAAAGATAGGTGTGTCTAACGGGGAATTGTTTAGTGGGTAGAGCTTCTGTTTTGCAAGATGAAGAGTTCTGGAGACTGGTTGCATAACAATGTGAATAGACAACATCACTGAACTGTACACTTAAAATGGTGAAGATGGTAAATTTGATATTATATGCATTTCACCACAATTAAAAAAATAAAAAAAAATAGACATCTCTATTTTAAACATAGTGTTGAGTATGATTCAGAAGACCAATTGTATTTCAAATGTACCCAAGCAAGAGCCAGGTTTCACCTTGGTGGCCTGGTAGGAGGTAGAGATTTCAACATTTTTGCCCCAGACAGGATGAGGTCACAAAGCTCAAAGGCTGTTTCTTTTCCAGCTAAGGGGTGTTTCATGGCTGGAGACTTCCCTTGGGGCCAAGGGGACAAGTGGGCCGAGCCGAGCTGTGCTTTTCCTCGGCTATCTCCTCTCCTGCAGCCCCTGTCTGTGGCTCTCTCCTGCCCTTCTCTCCACTGACAGGACCCCCTGCTTTCCTCTGCCTCGTTGTCTCCCTTCTCAAAATCCCTGCCGAACTTTGGGACCAGGATTGGGATCCAAGGCATATTTTTACATTCCTTGAGCTTAATGCACATATCCTGATTGAAAAATGTTATTTCCTGTGGGCTGGGAAGTCTGCGTCTAGAATGGCTCCCCTGCCTCTCCACGCAGACACGTGGTGCGGTGACACACGTGGATGAGCAGGCACAGGAAGACCCACAACATAGCCTTGCCGGGGCTGGCAGGAACTGGGTCAACTTACAGGCCTCTGTGGCTCTTCTGGCTCTGTTGGACATGTGGAAGTGTCTTAGGAAAGATGAGAACAACGTCTTGGAATTGTCTTTCCTGTGGACAGACGGGCAGGGACCACCAGGACGCAGACGTCTGGAGAAGGCAAACATCAGGCAATGTGTGACTATCTGGGACATGGTGGAATGGGGGGACCGCCCACCTGTGCTTGGCACAGGTCTGCTTCCTGCACGGGCTCAGAGACATAGCATGTATGTGTCTTTCTAAGCACAGGTCTATTTCTGAGTATGTTTCTGTTTACATTAAAATTGTATTTAATTTAACTTTATCCCTTTTAAACTTTCCTAATCGCTTCCCTGTCATTTTTTCTCTCCCTAAACATGGCCCAACTGAGATGAAATGCAAGTCAGGCCTCACTTCCCCCATCTGGCATTTAATGTCCTCTTTGCTAAGATGTTACAGGAGTATACACATGTACATACAATGGACTCACATGTACGCAGCCTTTCCCCGCCCTTTTTCAGAGAGGAGTCCACTGCAATAGGACCCGCAGCCTCTGCTAGGTTCTCTTAAAGACCTGCCTTGAAGACCCCTGGATGTCAGTGCTGTCTGGGCCTGGGGCACAGGAGAATTGGGGCCACAGGAGGCCACGAAAGTCAAGGAAAAGGGGTGTGGCCAGATAAGCCGTGTGGCCTTGGATGCTGCCAGGCTCAGGACTGGCAAGGGGTCCTTGCCCTCTGCTCTGTACTTATCCTTGCTGGGATGCATGGCCTGTCCACCTAGTGACCAGTCATGGCCATGCTGCTTGTGAGAACAAGCAGGAATTCAACTGACTCCACAGCCTAGTGAGAAATAAGGTCTGAGACAGGAGCCTGGTGGGACCAGGGGTGGGCTCTCTGGGGACCATGTGGACAGCAGAAGCTCAGAGCTCATGGCCGCAGCCCCAGGGAAGGGCCAGGTGGGCTATGCAGAGAGTGGAGCCCAGTCCTGGTTTTAGAAGACAGTGCTGTCCTGGCTCAGTCAGTACCTAAGTGTAGGGCCTTGACCTCCTGACTTAACCACTGTATGCTCGCCGGTTACCTGGGACAATGTCGGGACTGCTGTCTCACAGGAGCCTGGTGGAATTGACGCAATGAGCATGGACCTGTGAGTAATTTCCTGTGTGCATCCGAGGAAGGACACTTCCTCTTCGAGGTAGTTGGTACATTTAGAACATTAGATGCATTTGTAGTGTCTGCAAAAAAATCAGGGACAGACAGTAGTCCAGACCTGGGGATCCCTGAGAGTGTGGGGGTGTGCAGGGTGCTCTCCAAGTCCATGGTGCCCTCCACCAATGACTCTCCTGGGCCTCTGTGCGTTGGGGGCTGGGCAGGGGTGGCCATGGTGGGGCTGGGCTCCGGGAACCCACCTGTGGTTGAGTGAAGGGGGCTGTTCTACCCTTGACCCTGGGGCTACGTCCCTTAGTCCTTGCTGTCCTCTGTTAAGAAAAAATTGACCTGAAATTTGGAAAAAGACAAAATCAGCATGGGCTTTTAATGCCATTTGGAATGTTGTTCAACAGACCCAACAATGATGATCGAATTTTCCAGGCAATGCACCTCTCTTTGACTTGGTCTTTGCATTCGGTTAAAGGCCAGATTCTAAAGTTACAGGTTAACTTGTGGGTCTTTTTGTCTAAGAGAGATGGCAGTGATTTCCGTCCAGCAGAAAAGATCGCCCCAGAGGCTGTGGCTCTGTTGCTCTCTAGGAACTGAACCAGTTTTGCAACCAACGTGGGAATTTCCCCAAACATTCTTTCTCCATGCCCAGTAACCACGATTCCTCCAGTTCTCCTCCGAGCCAGCTTCCCCTGCTGCTGGTTCTCACTTTACAGAGTTGAATAATCAGTATCTCATTTGTTCTATATTTGTAAGTCGACCAGGTTGGTAAATTCCTGAAAATTACTCTTTGACAATTTCCACGTGAATCTCCCACAGTTCTCCACACTCCAGGGCATCGGGTTCATCCGATAGGATTAAGGACCCACTGCCCAGCCTCCCTCTGCCCCGTCCCTTACCAGGTCAGTGCAAGGACACTGAGGCAGTTCTCCTCACACACCTGCCACTTGCTATGGCAGGGACAGGACTCAAAGGCACAAGTGATAAGTGCAAAAATACCCGTGAGTCAGAATAGCCTTTGATGGACATACACACTGGTCCCCTGTGTAGGGACATAGAGACTGCCAGGGACACCAGAGAGTCCAGAGAAAAGGACCCTGAGAATTTCACATCTGGCGTCTGCCACAGGAGAGAGCAAGTGTGCAAACTCCAACTGCCACCGTTGCCAGACGGGAACTCTTTGGTTGTCAACTTATGATATGTGAAGGCAACTGAAGCAGCAGCGTGCCCTTGGAGCAATCATCTTTACTGTTTCTGGTTCCAAACTTTTCAGAGTTCCTTGTTTTTAATAACATATCTGCATCCTCAAATACAGAGACATTCTGAGCGAGCAGCTGGGGGCACCGACGGCATCTCCACTCGCCTGGATGATCCAGCTTTCTGCTTTGCTGACCAGGCTCGTGGGATTTTGTCAACTGCACCATGGCTAGAGCTTGGTCATCAGGTAAAGCTGATAAAATTTCAATCTGACTTTTTGAGAGTCAGGGACTGAGCCCTGTGCCATAGGTAAGGTGACAAAACCTCAGGGCATGGAGGTGAAAGCCATGCCTGGTTGAGAAAATTTGCCTTGAAATTTGGTTTCAGATGAAACGAGCACCACAGGTGCATGGATGGAAGCCGCCTGAGCCAGCACTTGCTGTAGGGTGTGCCCAGGACACCAACCCAGGGTGGAGAGTCCATCAGACCAAAGATTTTGGAAATAGCCTCTGCGCGTGTTGTTACTATTTTAAAAGCAAAATTACAAAGAAACAAGAGAGGGTGATGGAGGTATGTGTTAGAAAACTATCAGTTATCATTACAGTGTTTGTTTGTTTGTTTTTCATGATGGAGAATTTATCAGTCCAGGGGCTGGCTCCTACTAAGAAGAAAAACAAATTGCCTCCTGAAAAAGAAAGAAAGAAAAATGATTAATTAGCTTTTGCGGGAAAAAAAGGACTAATCATAAAGGAAGGAGACAGGCTATGCTGGGCAGGTACTGATTTATGTGTTGAAAAAAATCAGAGTAAATGTACAGTTTATAAACATTAGCAGTAGGTTATCGTAGAACAGAAATGTCAGGCAGCACTCACAAACTCATAAGAGGGGAATCCAAAGGGCTGACAATCCACCCAGGCTAAAACAGGAAATAAAATAGGAGAGACAGGAATAATAAACTAACAGAGCCAGAAGGTGGGTGAGTTTTATAAACAGATAAAATACAGAGTCTTGGATTTTATAAGATTATAAGATCCATAGGATTCTCACAAAAGACACATCTACCATAAACCAAGCCTGATATGTTGAAAATTCACTGGTGGACGA